AGTTGTTTCGACTAGATTTCATTACTAAATTTTCGCCTGTTTCATTTTATTCTTTTGTCTATAATTAACTTTAAATATTGTTAATTTCGAATAGTTTTCATTTCGGATATTTATGACTTTGTAGATTTTGTATTTTTTAATGAAAATAATTTGAGTGGAGTTTCAGGAGTTTCTGGCACACCCTTTTATTTGTCCGTTGATATCTTAGATTTAGGTATAATATGGTATAATCTAGAAAAGATAATTACATCGGATGTCCTCGGTTTTCTTCGGTTATTTCCGAAATTAGACGGAATTATACGAACTTCCCACCTGTTCCATGCTTGCGTTATTCTTAAATTGCATCTGGTAGATTAATATTTGTTGAAACATATAACAATAGTTATTAATATTATTATTATTGTTTTTTTTACAGTGATATCTGTTAATATTTAAAAATTACCGAAATTTTTTTTGATTAACATTTACAATAATTGTGATTTTTTATAAATATTAATTTAATATAGTATGTCGTAACATTGATAACAACAATGGATGTTTTAAATAAAATATTAAATTCTGAAATTTCAATTGATGAAATTTTAGAGTGGCTATCTGCAAATGACAATGAGGTAACTTAAATTTATTTTTATTTCACAACAAATTTCGAGGTTATAATCTATCCTCATGTGTTTATTTATCCATTATTTTTTTGTTTACAGAATATTAATTTTTCCAACAACGCGCAAATTAATTCAACACCTACCGAATTTATCTTATTTTTTCTCAATTATTTGAGAAAACAATGTCAAGGGTAAATTAAAATTATTGATGTTTATTTATAACTCGATTGTTTATTGTTTTTCTCTACTAAATAATTTATTTCAAAAAAATATTTTTTAGGACACTAGATGTTGATATTCATAATACTGTAGAAAGTCAAGTTAAAAAGAATATCCCAAGTACACCATCAAAACAAAACAAGAGTGTTAACAGAACCAGAAGTAATATAAGCTTGGAAGATAACAAACAATTGAAATTATCATCAGTGTGTACAGGTAATCAAAATAGTTCACTGGGATTTCACTCTCCTGACACCAAAATTGCTAATATAAGTAACAATATTCAACTGACGAGTACACCAGTCAAAACCATTCATCAAATAACCCAGTCTTCTGAATCTACTAATTTGAACACCACTGATAAATCGGAACCTAGGCATACTGTTGATTGTATGTCTAGTTTTAATGAATTATCCCAATCTTTTAGTCCAATCATCAAACATAGCCGTCCACAATGGAGCAATGACGATCATTCTTTTGGTAACCCTGAATTTTCCGTCAATCGTCAAAGCACATTAAACATATCCCCACACGTAAGACAGCCTACAATAAATGACTCTGTTCATTCTAACACATCTATAGATACAAGTGTTAACCCTTGCAGTCCTGTTTCACCTTTATATACCGGTTATATGCCATCAATATTTAAAAAAAAAAATTATGCTGCTATAAAACAAAGAGCTACTGGAAAAAATTTAAGTAAAAGTTCTCAATCTAAGCAAAATACTGATCAGAAAAAAAATGATCATAGTCGTAGTATTTGTTTCGGAGATTTTATTGCTCCAGAAAAAAGTAATTCTAAAAAAAATAATAAAAAAAACAGTTCGAAAGATCAGGTTTTGACATCACAATCTACTCATGAAACAGAGCCTTTGCAAAATAAATCATTAACAGAAAATACTAGAAATAAATCTAAATCAAGGCGCCGTATTAAGCCAACAAAATTGAATCTTTCGTCTGATACAGGTAACAAATCATTTAAGTCAATATTTATCTTATAATATGTTTATTATTCCAATAATATTATTTTAGCAAATCAAGAGGAGGTTTTTGGTGCAGTGAGTAGACCACGAATAGTTAATCCACAATTTGTAGAAGCACAACCGAATGATAAATCAACTGAAATATCATCTTTTGAAACTGAACGAGAATTATTAAAGTTGGAAAGACAGAAACAACCAAAAGTTGATGTTTCTACAGAAGGGAGTAGTCAGGAAGTGAAATGCGTCATCAAATCTCTTAAACCATCTTCATATGTTGTTCCTCAATTAGAATTTGTTGATAATATTGAAGTGCTAAATATCTTAGGAAAACTTTATGCATCTCTTCTATGTAAAAATTTGATTTTAAATCCTATGTCAGAATTATATTTTATTATTTCTCTCATTACATTTCAATATAAATCATTAGTGGATGAAAATGAAAGTCCAATAACACATTTAAACTCAGAAAGCAATAATTCTAATTCGTTAGATAGATTAAAAAAAAATTTAGGAGTTTTTGATATCGTTGAAGATATAAATGAAATAAGTTGCAACAGAGAGTCTCAAAAAAATGTCGATGATTCAGAATTGTCAACTTGTGAATTGGTCGACAAAAAGAAAATTGAACAATCTCAAGATGAACCAAATTACCTTGATACAGCTCATAATTGTATTTATTTTGCGACAACAACTCTTTTTCATGGAAAAAGTTTATTATCGGTATTAGATCGAGCAGCTTTAAAGTTGCTCTATGATAATACATTGGTAGTAGCATTTCAACCAGCACTTCGAGAGTATTTGAAAGAATTATATACACTTAAATGTTTACATTCTAAACAATGTAAACCATATAATGACGCGAGGTAAGTGTGATAAATTAAACAATAACAATGATATTTATCGATATAATAATTAAAAAATTTATTTAAATTTTATTTCAGCGCATTGCAGACAAATGTATGTTTTCAAATGGACACAGATAATCGAGAAAATTTTCCTTCATCTTTAGCATTCTCTACGTTTAGAAAACAACGTGATGTATTCTATGAAATTTTAAAGATATGGGAAGACAATCATTTGCTACCAAATTGGTCTTTTAATACAGCATTAGAAAGGAAAATAAATACATTGTTATCAATGCATCATGATGTTATTAACTATTATCATATAGCGCGATTGTTGAAATCTCAATTGTTAATATCATCTATGCAAATTAGACAAAAGGCAATACTTAAAATTCTTTGATCATTATATTTTTTTAAATTTAATTTAATAACTTCGTGTAACAATACTTATTATACATAATTATTCAGCAGGAACAACTTGATGATGACCAAACTTCAAATGTTTTAAAATACTTGAAAGATTTAGACCCAGAAAAACTGAAACAATTAAAGGAACGGTTAGTTACTCCAACTTCATCAAAGGGACCAGTCCCGGAACCTGAATTTCTTGGCGTTCAAGAATTTTATAGAGATTTTATTTCAGCATCATTTAATCCAAAATTTAATGTTATTTTGCAAAATTGTTTTGTTCAAGAAATTATAGAGTTAAATGAAACACAATTTGCATGTAGTGATATCGATACGAAAGGTAAAAATCGGTACAAATAATATTTTTTATTTTTCAAACATCTAAAAGTGACTAATATTTCATTATAATTTCAGAAAATTCAGTGGATGAAAGCACGAAGCAAAATTATATTATTTGTTTATCAAGTCTCAGAGTAATGGCAAAATTCTTAGGTTTTATTATATCATTGCCATTTCGGTCAGAAGTTAAAACATTAGAATCAATAAATACACAGATTGCTTTGCGGAGTCGCGTAAGTTTACATTTATTCTTTTTTATTTTTAAAAAATTTTATTATATTTTAAAAATTATTTTCTTTAATTAAAATTTTATTTTAGACCCTTCCACCATTGGATTTACAAGAATGTTTATCAAATTCTATGAAAAATGGTAAACTTTCACTAACTATTCCGTGGCTAGTTCAATATCTTGCTATGATGGATTCAGTAGCATTTTATTTACCATATTATTTGAAACTATGTAAAATACTTTATTGTCTATATCGTACAGCATATAATTCGTTAAATCAAGAAACATCATTGTTGATTACATTCTGCATTGGTTGGCTCTTTGATCTTCCAAATTTTCCGAAAGAACTTTATTATAACTGGTACTCAAATTACAATAATGTAAAAATTGAAACGAAACCACTTTTAACTATTAGTAAATCAATTGAAACATCAAAATTGACGGATAAAACGTCAAAAAATGTTGCTGGATGTAATATAATTTTGGATGGAATGAAAATAATTGACGATAGAGCTTTATTTATTAGTTGTGAATTTTTAACGGAATTTAAAGTTTTACTAACAGCTGGGAATTCAAGTATACATAGCGGTAATAATGCCAATCGACACATTACACCGGTCTCTAGCCAATTATCTAAACCAACACATGCTGCAAGAACAATAACTTTAGAGTTACAACTAGAAAATGCCTTTTTTCACAGCCAACCACGCTCAATAAAAAAAACGGTTGATTTTGTTTCTGAAAGAGTCGCTTCAACTTGTGTTAAATATATTTGCAAATTTATAATAACGCCGATCAAAGAAAAAAGTTACAAAACATGGAAAATACAAATCAGTAAGAAGCCAAGTGAACAAATCGTTGCAACGGATGAATTGTTTCAGCATATAACAGTTGTTACACATGAAATTAGTAATGAATGTAAAAAAAAAATTCCTGCTATGTGTGAGGCAAGGATAAAAAATTCTATAGAATCTTTGTTAGCTGAAGATATTTTAGAATCTGTAAAAAATATGTCCATCAAAATTGCTATGAAAATGGCAATGGAACGAATAAATCAGTGGATTGAATCTTATATCAATGGTGTAACTACGTCCAAAGATATGTATGAAGAATTTGTTAATAAAAAATCATTCGATTCAGACGAGGACTCAAAAAATATGCAAAAGAGTAAATATGACTCAAGATATCCTTCTTCAACTACAGTAATTAATGATGTACGCAATTCAATGTGGGAATTAATGGAACAAAATGGAAGGTGGTCTATATTAACTGAAGAACAAATTTTATTGATTATTGATAGTGTACAATCAATATTATTGGGAAACAATGAATTAGTGATGTCAACTAAAAAAGTTTTATGTATATTAAGTATTGATTATGCTATACATATAATAGTTTTTAAAGAAGAATTAATGACAACTAACATAGAAAATAATTTTATAAAGTTGTGGAAATTATATAAAAATATTAATGAGTTGTTATCAGGATTATTGAGTCCTCGAAATATCAAACTTCTAATGCAAGCTTATGATGCCACAATTTGGAGAAGATATGGAAAATTTATACAAAAATTATTAGCAGAAAATATATTAACAATTGAAAATTTCAGTGATCAATGTGTTGCCTTTTTCAGACTTGAATGGCCTCGCTATGTTTTGAAATGTATTCCAAATTGTTTATTGGAAGCGATTAGTCATTATAATAGTTTCAACGAACACACTGAAAAAGTTAAATATTTGATTGGTTGGCTCGCTGGGACTTGCCCCGAATTAAACTACAACTATGGATAGTAGAATAAGTATTTTAATTTTATTTTTTCATAACTAATTAAGTAAACTTTAAAAAAATATTTGTACAAATAAGTAATTGTAAATTAATAAATTGACAAAAAATATATTTAATAACGCAAATGATTAATTTATTTTTCTTAAAAAAAAGCCTTATAGACTTAAATTAAAGTGAAATAAAGCTCTGGATCTATAATGCTAATACTGATTTATTTAGCCTTCTTATTTTTTCTTTCTTGGATATTTAAACAATCAAATCATATTTAGAGCAACTAATAAGTAAAATTTTTAGACCCAATTCGTTACTCTAAACAGAATAGATCTACTTGTGTTTATATATGTTTGGAATGAATACCTGTATGGGAGGTATGATGGAGAAAAATAGAATTTGAAGCTCATTAAAAAAATTAAGGTTTTTTTTTGTTGAAACGGAGTTTTTTTTTACTTTCAGCTATGAAAATCAATGATTTTTTTTTTTTTTATTAATAACATGATAAAAAAACCCTAGCGTCTCATAAAATGTTGACTTTTTGGAAGATTTTACTCAACAAAAAAACAAAAATTAAATTAATAATTGTAAACTTAATTTCGACAAAACATTCGCAAAAAAATTTTTGTGTCGCTTGGAAACTCTGTTTTAACAAAAAAAAAAAAATATTGTCTGAAAAACTGATCCTAAATAACATTAGTTAATCAAGAGAAATAATTAATCATTAATCAACGACATAATTCGAACCAAAAATAAATTACGTTTTCAATTTTATTCAAAATTTTTTTGTCTCACACTAAAGCGAAGTACCCAATCGTCACATAAAAAACTGTTGACTTTTTGGTAAATTTTATTTAACAAGAAGTCAAAAATTAATAATTGTCAACTTAAATTCAACAAAATATTACCAAAAAAATTTTTGTGCCGCCGCTTGGGTATTTCAATATTCCCGGACTAAAAATCCGCAGTAGGTATACACCTTATATGAAATAAGAATGGTCAACACTAGAGGGAGTTATATATAACATGGCACAGTGTTCGAGTGATTCTGATTCTAGTTATTCATTTTACACAATCCACCGGTCAATTAGCCCAAACACCTTACGAAATTGAAATTTAACAATTTTTATGATTTTTCTTAATAAACGTAAATAATTATAAAGAAGATGAAAAAAATTCACTTGTGAAAATTTTAAATAATTTAAATTAGAATATTATTGCAATATTTTTTGTCCAATTTATTAAAAAAAAAAAAAAATCATTAAATGGTGAGATGTCTGCTGATTTCAGAATCATAATAACTTATTCATTAGTAAATTATCAGATAAATGTCTGCTCAAACCACCAGACTTACCTGGAGTAACATCTGACACCTATTAATTTTACTACTTATCACTTAAGTATAATTACTCACACACACATATTTAGATCTGTTGTGACGTGTGTAACTGAAAAATTACTATATTTCTATATAGTTATTTATAATAAAATTTTTCAAGTAAGTTTATTGATATTCATAATTAATATAAACATAATTAATAATTATTATTATTATTTAGTATAGATGAACTATAATTTAATAAATTTTTTTTATAGAATGTCAAACTCATCAGATCCGCGACGTCCTGAAAAAGAATTACGGTATAAACCATCGGTTGTTAGCAGCCAGGCTCAACCAGGTGATGATTTAACACCGGATTATATGAATATTTTAGGAATGATATTTAGTATGTGTGGACTTATGATGAGGCTAAAATGGTGTGCATGGGTAGCACTTTATTGTTCTTGCATAAGTTTTGCTAATTCTCGAGTCAGTGATGATACTAAACAAATTTTAAGTAGTTTTATGTTATCTATATCAGCTGTTGTGATGTCGTATTTACAAAATCCACAACCGATGACTCCACCCTGGGCTTCTGTCATCCAATAATTTCATTAATTTTTATAGAATATAATTTTTTGATGAAAAGGATTTAAGTAACACATGATGTAATAAAAAAAATTTTCTTTTCATATTTTTATTCAATAAATTGTTTTCTGTAAATTACTTAATGTAATTTATTATCAATATCTTATAATTATCATATTCAACAAAATTATTAGTGTTTTATAAATTTGATATTTGTCTTTGCAATTTCTAAACAGTATACTAAAATTATAATTTTACAATTTCATAATTTATAATGTAACGTTCTTGCATTTTTATCAATTTTTTTTATACAATATTTCAACTAGTAAGGGATAATAATGTAAAATATAAAAAGTGCACACTAGAATAATGTTATTTTTTTTTTTTTTAAATGTCTGCAACTCTTATACCATTGTAATTTATGGTATGTAATCTAAACATTTGAAGGCAATTCGTTGGATTAAAAATTTTAACTTTCAATTAAATTACAACTGTATCAATAAAGAAAGTATTTTTTTGAACGAATTGAACCATTTCTCGTTCGATGTACAATAGGCCTAAATACATATTATATGAATAAATACAACAGTTAAACATTTATCAATTATTGGCACATCTTAAAAAATATATCTACACAGTCAATTAATTAATTAAATAATAAATAAAACAACTGTTTACTTCAATCCCGAAGAATCTTCTAATTCAATAAATATTCAATTCGAGGTGAATAAAGCCACAGGGACAATATTATAAATATTAGCGTTGTATAGACGACACGAAGCCATCAGAATCATTTACAAATGATAAAAGTTTTGGTTATTTTAATCTTGTTATTTTTTTTTTCTTTTTCTTAAGAATGAGCCGAGTTTATATTGAAAAAATTCAAATGAAAATTATGGTCCCACGGCCTTATAAATTTAATGAATTGATAAAAAATTCAAACACTACTTTCACCTCGACCAACCAACGTGATTGGGTATACATATTTTTTTCTTTTGGCATTAGAAAATGGTGATGTATGTTGGCTCGGAGTTGGTGATAAACCGCGGAGCAGTGGAAGTGATGTATCAACAGAAGTTCCACCGATTGTATCAAATGGTTTTTTCCATTCAGCGTTTATATTAATAACAGGTGTCATAAGTCTTCTACATTCTGGAGAGCTTTTTATATTAATGCTGTCACGGCGAGTAAGAAACCCCTACAAATTAATATCAATAATTAATAGTTGTTACTTATGAAATATGACAAATGTAACTAGAAATATAATAATAATAATAATAATAATAATTATCATAACTAGAAATTATATAAAAATATACTCTGGGTCAATTCTGTATATTTTTTCGCCGAGAAGAGAAAAAATACAAAAGCCAAAAGATTTTTCCTCTCAAATATTTAAACGAAAAAATAAAGAATCTGCTACTCAAACTTGAAGTTAAGGACTATTATATATCTAAATCGAATATTTGTTTCAACATGCTCGCAGGAAACGCGTTAACTAATTAGTTACAGGAATCGGTTTATAAATTTCTATATAAGATATCTAATACTTAGATTATAAATAATTTTATTATTATTCACCTTCGTTTCGTATAAATCTAAATTCGATTCGTTTGTATCGATCTCTTCTTGATTAGTATTACGAATAATACATGTTGAATGAATTGATGAAGGAGTAGAATTGTCAGAAAGATCATCTCTGCAACAAGCAGCAGTACATACAGTCTGTTCTCTGTAAACGAAAATGAAGATCATAGTGATAATAATTGTTATCAATTTTTTATAAAAAAGAATTTTGAAAAAACCCGGCCATTGAATTCATCTAGTGTATATACTTTATAAATATATGATTAACATATAAAAAATGGGTTAAGATCCTTGATGATAATGTACTTAGTTAATTCGTTGTCAGAAGATTGAGAAAATTAAGAAATTAAAAATTAAATGTATTTACTGATATATTTTTGTAATTTTAATTAATCAATGGTAATTTGTTGACTATTGTTTTAGATCGCCTGAGAAAGTGCTAATTGGGCGCGAAACGTTGCGCAAAGTATATATTGTTTTTTAACAAATAGTATTTTCATTATTAATCCTGAATCCTCTAATTACAAATTGACTATATATATATATATATAATTGTTTTAAATTTTGAGAGTCTAAAAAGTGAATTAAATAATGAAAAAAATTAAAACCTTTTTAAGATAATGGAATCTCGTCGCTGTGGAACTGGAGGTGGTTGGACTCCTTGGCGTTGACTTTTCGTTGTTTCATAACTAGCTTCACTATTTCCACTGCTGCTATTGCTACCAGCGATTTCATCACACAATCCATAATTTTTGGAAGCGAGCATTGCATAGTGAAGATTACTTTTAAGATCATCTGCAGCAGTTGAAAGGTTTCTTGGTATTTTTGGTGTACGTCTTATGGGTCTAGTTGAAGGCAATGGTGATGGCGAGTTACTAGCCTCTGACATTGTTTCTGGCGTGGCTAGAGGGGCTATTCTCTGAGTATATTCCCAATTAAGTGGATGGTTGAAGCTATAAAGAAATAATTAAAATTATTATTACTTACAGTTATTTAATTACTTATAATTTATTGAACAGCTAAAAAAATAGTGTGCAAAATATAAATAATTTAAAAATTCAGAGAATGTCTAGTAAATTATATGAGATATAAAAAATTATCAACACGGAAGCCAATACTTATTTGCTACTAACTTATAAATTTAAAAGATGATATAGCACATATAAGCTTTTAAAAGCTACCATGATAAAACCGGGTTAAAGTTTTCATTTTGAAGTAGAATAAAATGAACAAAAATGATGTATTAGATGGTGTCACGACTTGATAACCGCTGAAAAAATAACCGTACGATTAAATAACTACAGAATAAATATCCTCATGACAAAAAAATTGAATCAAAACATGGTTAAAAAAACTTTCATACAGTTTTTTTTTCCACTGTTAAAATTTAATAATTGTGCAGAATTGGAGCATCACCTCTGTAGCCATAAAAAATTCAAAAATTAACTTATTTTTTTATTTTCATTTTGTTCTACGTTACGGTGTATTTATACATATAATTTGAGATAATTATGAAATTAAATTTTTTATTTTAACAATCGAATAAATGCATACTTGTCTCGTTTATTATTAAAACAAATGTAGTCGATTTTTATGAATTTTCTATCATTTGTTAATTTCGAGTTTCGATCACCGATTTGAAGTTGATGTAATGATTTTTCAATATTTTTATATTTTTTTGAGGAAAAAGCCAAAAATTTATGTACCGTCAAAATTTTTTTTATTAATCTATTTTCAATTTGATTCTCAACATGAAAAAAAAGTGTAGAAATATTGAAAAATTAATGCACACTCACTTAGAATCGTTGATCCAAATTTGAAATTAACAAATTTTCAAAAATTTATAAAGAATATTTGAATAATTATATCATAACTCTACAAAATGGATGAATATTTTTATTTTCAAACTAAAAAAAATATAAATATTTTGTAAAAACGTTATTATGTCATTAACAATTCATAAATCTTCCGTGTGATAAATAAAAAAAAAATCAAGTACACTCAATTTTCCGAATTTTTATCGTTGAAAATAAGTGGAACTTTATTTCCACACATTTATAATTATAAACCAAAACTTTAAACAATATTTAATTTAGTTTTGAGTTTATACATATATTTATTTGGTTATTTTTATCGCGCAGGTATTTTGTCCGGGATCATTTTGTTAGGGCTTCTTAGTAGATATAACCAAGGATTTAAAACCATCACGGAAGGATTCTGTTGCTTTTAAAATATTTTCTTACAATTTATGGTCATCGTGCCTGGGTGTAGTTATCAACTCGCTTGCCAGGCTGACGTATTCCCAAGGCACTCCCCTGGAATCGACGCTTAACTCGCGTTCAGTATGAGGCAATTCCATTGGACTCTGAAGTGATGTAAAACTAGTTTCAAGGCACAACCTGTGTGGCGGAGTGCCAATTGTTAACGAGCGTGATTTGCATGGACTTTTTGGAAGCAGGGCTCGCATTTCCTGCTCTATTTCCCGTTCTTCAATCTTATTTGGATTACGATTTTCTGAAGCCTCTGCTAATGACGTGTGACCTGATGTCAAACGTTGTGGCTTTGCTGGTCCCAGAGTTGTTACAACCTGATCGTCATGCGTCGTTTCAATATTATTACAAACAACTTGTCAAAATAATAGATTTTATGTTCATAATAATAATTACTTCGAGTTTTGATTCCTACACCTAGTCACTCGACTAAAAAATGATTGTTCTTACTCAATTTGTATAACTTTTATGGTTCAAAATCATTATATTTTTACTGGTTCATGCTTTTTAATGGACAATTATGCTGAACTATTTAGTACAATTTTATTTATATGGATCTTTAATATAATGGGTAAGTGCAGTGATCCGTTATTATAATTAACATGCAAATACATAATTAATTTACATGCCATGTTTTCATTTTATTGACAAAACTTAACTAGATGAAAAAATAATGAGGAAAATGAAAGTAATAAAAAATATTATATGACCAAAGTGTTAATGGATTTTTTATAAAAAAAAAAAAAAATTAATTTATAAAGAAATGAATACCGGGAAAATATAAGTGAAGAGAAAAAATTTTCTTTCGAATTTTTTTTTTTTTTCCAAGAACAATAGTTTCTGAGCTGAAAACAGGAGCTGACTTGCAAGAAATTGTAAATTTTGAACTGTGAGGTTTTTATTGGTTCAAATAAATTTTACAAGATAGAAGATCCTCAAACTTATAAATAAATATATTGATCTTCGTTCGAGATGTTTTCTCTCTTTAATCAAGTTAATTTTTTTAACAGTATGTTTCATATTATACAATGAGAAAAAAGTAGTTTAAGTTAACGTGTTAAGTTATGTTATGTTGGAATAAATTAATTATTTTAGGTATTGTATTTTACAAAAAAAATTTTTATCTTATAAGTTTAATAATAATCATCTGAACAGGGTTAATAAAACAAAAAATGCTATTCAAAGACAATTACAAAGTCTAATAAGATCCATAAAACTATTAAAAGCTGATAAAATTATATCATCAATTATTACAAACTTGCTATACATCATCAGTTAATCTAATATATTATTGCATAATTGATATTAATGAACAGGGTAGTTAATTGAAAATAGAGCTATTCGTTTCATTCGAAATAGAAAAATGGATTTTATATTAAAAAAAAAGAGAATTTCTTAAAATTACTTTCAGAATAGAATTTTCAGATGTATCCTAAGAGAGGTTGATTTTACAGGCCATTCCCGAATCTCTCCACATTTTTCAAGCTTGAAACGCTTAAAAATATATTTTTTGCTTGTTATTAAAGTTCTTCGAGCTCAAAAGTATAAGTATATTTATTCGTTCTGAGTTCAAAGAGATAAGTATTTTTGGGTCAACTTTTTATAATGTTCATTTTAATTTTGAATTCGATTTGACTAGAGCTATGTGAAGAATTATTCATATTTTTTAATTATTTTATTCAAAACACTATTTCCGTAGCCCTAATGCTGAAATTAAGTAAAGTTTTGAAACTATTATATTTTAATAAATCTAATTTGGAAAATGATCTATGTAGTAATTTTGACAAAAATATTGTCAAAAAAGCGACAGTGGCCACAAACGGCTTTTTACCTTGTTTTAAATAAAAATTTTTGAAAACTTGTCGACAACGGTATCTTTTGAATTAAAAATGATTAATAAATCAATCATGAAATAAAATAAAATTTTTTCGAGCTTTGTGTAATCAATCAAGACGTGAACGCTTTTAAAAATAATAAAAACAGCTTATATGCAAAGTGTGTGCGCGAGTGGCTGTATTCTATATTGATGAAACTAATAAGTTAAAACTTATAGCTAATAATTTATAACTTTACTTTGAAAGACCTCGAATGTTGTGAAAATACCTGGTTTCGTGACAGGAAGAGAGTGTGGTGGCATAGGCGGCAACGTCATACAGGGTCGAACTTTGATGTTGAAGCGTCATGGAATGTTGATTGTCAGATGTCCCAACTCCCAATATTTGAACTGATGTTGTAATCACAGCACTTTTAGGCCTGCACGCAGACACCTAATTTACACCACACACCCTTAGCCACTATTATCAAATTTATTTTCATCTGTATTTTAATTTATTACTCTAGCGGTTTTGGTGACTAGGTAGAAACACGGAGAGTCAATAGTGTATTCACGGAGTTTCGATGGTCTTGCTACTGCAGGAAGGTAACATTTTTATGCAGTTATGACATAGGTTGTTTTTTGAAGTTTTGATAATTATTTTCAAGTTTGAATACAAATATTTTTTAAATCGAAAATTTATTACAAAAAATCGTTTCAAAAGTTGTTAATTTTTTTTTCTTTAATGGAAAAAATATATTTTTTAATTAAAGTGTGTGCCGTTGAAAAATTAAGAATATCCAAATAAATAGATGATAAAATTCTGAAAAAAATAAATTTTCTAGCTTTCTGAGAAAAAAGAAGAGGGAAGAAACCGAGATGAAAAAATAAGAAATTTTTATTTCATTTCTAAGGATTTTCTAGAACTCTATTAATTTCAACAAAGTTGTTGACATTGACTCGCTTCAAGAGATCTTATATTAAAAAGATTATATCAGTGCCTGTTGACATATCCGTGAAGCACGTCAATCGGCATCCAAGATAGTGCCAATATATTATATAATATCTTTTCAATGAATAAAATTTCAATAATATATAATTTGTAACCCGATATATTTAATAACATATAATCATAACTGAATAAGTCGAATAAACATAGTTTAATGCCGTACTTGAGTTGAACCAGTTAAATTGATATTTCAGTATTATTATTATTATCATGAAAATTTGTCATTTATTTGAAAATTAAGTAAATACTATTTATCGAAACTCCGTTAATTTATCAAATTTTTCCGGTGATAATAAAACCGCTAGTGTAATTTATATGATTCTACATTCAACTTTCTCATTGAAACGTAATATTTCTATTTTCTCAACAATAATTTTCATTTTCAATAATATTTTTCTGAGATTTTGGTATTTTTTCACTATCCCAAAATTTTAACTATTCTATAATTTTTTTGTCATAATTATGCTATATAATACAATATAGCAAGTAGATGTTTTTTTTTTTTTTTTTTTATTCAATAAAAGTCATATACTTCTCAGTATCGGCAAAACATAAAAAAAAAAAATTTTTTAGCTCTCTAATCATACTCAAAGGTATATTACCTGCAGATAAATTAAATGTAAAAACTATTTATTAATCTATGTTCAAAAAAGTGGAAAATATTTATGTTTAAACAAATGTTATAGTAGAAATAACTTTATAGAATTATGAACACCAATTCAAACAAATGAGGAAGCGAAAAATTTTTCGAAAGTTTTCAGTATTTTTCCAAAGGCCCACTAACTTGAAAATTTTAGTAAGAATAAGCATCATGCACAAGTGACGTAGGAAAGCAAGTTATGACTGTATAAATCATGAATCGAAAGCCAAAAATTTTTACTTTTTATCAACTATCTAAAACAAAAAAATGCGTAATTGTATTTATGTAGTAGCTTCGCCTCAAATGTATTATTAGACTTGTCAGTCAGGCTGAGTTAATATACATATAATAATTTATCTCAGATCGTTTCTTTTTATTAGTAACAACATTATTTTGTTTACCTAGGAATATAAACCAGTGACACACCTTAATCTAACAAAATCGACTCCTAAAGATGACACGGCAAGAATTTCAACCGTTTTTTTTTTTTTTTTTTTTTTTTTCAGTTTCCACAAATCATTTTATCAATTTTTAATGAATCCGTTGTCGAAATCTTTTTTTTCAAACATTTAAAAATTATATTTGTCAAAAAATTTAAAGAAAAATAAATTTTCGTTTTTTTTTTTTTCAGCAACTTCAAAGACCCATAAATCTCGTAAATAGCTAACAAATTTTATTTACACTTATTTCCTTTGTGATCATAGCAATTTCAAATTTTAAAAATATTTGAAACCCCACTTTTATATAATTATCAAAAAAAGATTTTTGTACATTCACGTAACGTGCAGTGAACAATTACTATTTTTTTTGGAAGAAGAAAAGGAGTCTCTATTTTTTATTTAAATTGGATAAGCATTAAAAATAGTACAATCTTTAGATTTTCAAATTTAACGCACTCAAGGAATCGCCTATTATTATGTAAAGCCTGATATTAGAAATTAATTTGATTTGTACATCGAAAAGAAACATGCTTATTTTCTCACGGATTAGAAAAATTCTTCATAATATCACGTGCGCATATGGAGGTGTTGAAAGCTGTAGTCTAAATGTCACTTATTCTATTTGACTGTATGAATGTAAAGGATTATTTTTGACATTTGACATTAAAAATAATCTTGAACATGGGATTTCAATTTATGAAAATTTGTTTATTTATTGCTTATGCATTTAATAATACATGCATCGAGAATAAAATGGTTATTATTCCTATTTTACAAAATCGATGATATAAAGTGAGTATGATTCATGAATTAAAAGAGAAATGATTCTGATGCTGACATAGTGAAAAGGCTTTTGTTAATGCAGGACGTTATATGCTAACTAACATACTATTATTCGCAGTCATTCGCAACTTGATTTTGCTTAACGTATAAACTTACCGCTATACGACATTTAAAGGAGTCGGTTAACACTTAGATGTTATTGGATTTTCGAATCAATTTATTGAGCAATTTCTAAGATATTCGAAAAATAGAAGAAACTTTTGTGTACGTTTTTCGATATAAATAAGATTTTTCGATTAATCGATTTTTGACCTAATATACATTTTTTGTACTCGCGAAATTGTGTCAAACGACGTGAACCGCATTAAGTTGAAATGACGTATTTCAAAAATATCGCAGTTAAAAAAATTCCGAAGTACGTTTTCATTAACTTAAAAAACTTTCAGATTTTTGAGCTCGAAGATATGAGCTCAAGCGTACATATATTTTTGAGCGCTTTCGCGCTCCAGTTTTGTAATAATAATCAAAATGTCTTCAAACAATATATAACAAATGATACAATTCATGATCGATAAGTAAAAAAAATTTATATTTTAATTAATTTCAATAGTATTTATGAACTTTTAATTAAAACACTGCGTTATCGCTAAATAAAGATAATTATTTATTTATTTAATGTAAATCTGTTATAAAAAATTCTGTAGGGTTATTGTTTGGGAACCGAAATATTCTATTTTCAAGCAAAAATAATAAAAAAAATACGTTTTTTTTAATGTTATCGATTCAAGTTTACTCAAATCTCTCACTTGGTCAACCAAAAAATATTTTGTAATGGGTCGCCAAAGAGTTCTGTAAACAATTATTTTCCAAGCAAATTACGATATAATAAAATAAAGACAAAATTACAAAAATGCGCAATATCAAAAGCTTCTACACTACACATAAAAACTAAGGGAGTAAAAATAATTTACAAATTTTTCGGTAATTTTTTGCTGAGTATTTTAACGAAATTTTTTAATCAACGAATTTCTTGTGGCTATTTTTTTTTTTTTTTGACAAAAAGATCGGCCTATTTTTTAGCAAGGATGTTTTTAACCAAAAGATTGGAAACATTTTATAATCTCAATACATCCTTTTTTTTACTTAAATACATTCTGTCAACAATCACCGTAAAATTTGAAAATTTTTTCACTCTCTTAATTTTTTAAGGAGTGTATGATATTGTAAAAGAATAGATAACATGTCGGCAACGATTTGTAAATAAAGTTTATCCTTAGAGTATTAAAAAATTAGCCCACCACCGCCACAAATCGACAAATAAAATGAAGGATAATACCTACTTACCAGCCTGATGATAATATACAACCGTTATAAAAATAAAACATTCTCCAACAAAAAATAATGATAATAATTTAATAATTTTCGAAAAGATTTATAAAACAATATATTTTTGGTTTAATGACTCTTTTCGGTCTGTGCGAAATAAAAGCTGATGTTCTCTGTGACACAATACAAAGTTTTTCTAAGACTGTTTTAAAAAGTTTATATAGTAAAAATATCTGTATGAACGGTTATTAAATAAAAGAAAGATGAAATATGTTATGAAATTCTTTTAAAACTTGATTGAGTGAGAATAGGAATGTTGGATTAGGGGATTTCGAATTCAATAAACACTAAATACGTAATTACAACTCGAATTTCTGCTTTGTCTTAATTCTATTTTTCTGTCAACTTTTACATAATTATACAAAATTATAAACATTCCACAACTCTAATTACTACAAATAAAAAACAATGCACTATTAAAATAATTATAATAATTTTATAAAACTTAAAAATATACATTCTTGATTGAGCGGATTGATTATCAAAATTAAATAGCTAAATAAAAATATCAATGGTATGAGAATATATTCGACATTGTAATAATTCATACTATAGTTGTATAAATAATTTGACAATGAAATTGATTCAAAAGGTTTAAATATACGATACGCCATGCGGTGCTGATGATAAGAATACATGCGGCATCATCAAAAAATAATCAGCTAGACTTATAAATGTACACATATATTTCCACTATAACTAATAAAATACCACATTTCAAAATATTGTTTTTGAGCTTAAAATGAGAGACTTTAAATTTCTTTTCATCCGAATATTGCTAGATGTTTATTCAAAAATAATGAAGTTAAAAACCATATATTGGATTTCTAACTGTCACCACAAGATAAAAAAATTTTTGGAAGATAAACTATTTGTCTTACAAAATTATTTTATCAGGAAAAAATAAATAAATAAATAAATAAATAAATAAAAATACCAATAACGTAGATAAAAATAGTATAGTTTAAATATTTAGCAATTAAAGTAATTCAAAAAAAGGTAGCTGTTCCTTGTATTGATACAAGAATTAGTTTTTTGGTAGAAGAAAAATGACTGAAGAAAGTGATTCACTAATTTTATTTAAAAAATATCTTTTTAATATTCGAATTGAGATTATTTATTGAATTAAGAATGACTTAATATCAGAATCAAATGAGCTAGTTTGTGATTCAAGAATAATAATTAATTAATTGAAAATGGCATTATTTGCTTGAACTATAAATTTTCATAAATAGATATCTAGGAATTCATTAACAAGGTGTACATATCCATATTGTACATATAAACGACTTAGAATGACGACATAAATAATTTTTAAATTCGTAAAAGTTATTTCATTCAAGGAAAATTTTTTTTTTTCAATCAAAGAAATATTTAAAAAAAAAAGTAGTATTTTCTAGATATTAAGATGGTAATTGCTAATATTTTCCATAAACTTCAACATCTACAATAACTGCATTGTTATCAAATGCAGTTGAATTTACTGCATCGTTTGAACAATCTATGTATCGAATGTTTTGATTTGTTAATCTTTGTTGAAAACTATTATCTGAATCGATAGGTATGTCTTCAAGAGTTTCATAGTCGCTATTGATTGAAAGAAATCCACGACTTTCTAGTGTTCTTTTACTTTTTAGATTTATTTCGGAATTCCCTATTAATTGAGGACTTACCTTATTGAGCGCTTTGAGCATGTTGTCTGGCATGTGATCCTGTATCATTACAGGGCTAATGAGAACTTCATCGAAATCACCTGGTTCTGCCCACAAAGCTTGATACACAGGTTCTCCTTTTCGTAATAATTGTCTGCAATTGAAAAAAAATTCGCATGTTTTTTTTTTTTTTTTTTTTTTTTAAATTAGTTACTACTAAAAAAAAATTTTAAAGATAAAAAAATGTTTTTTTTTTGTTGTTGTTTTGATTTAACAGAAATATATAATTTTCTGTTAATATTCGATTATATACGTTGATAACAATCGTTATTCAATAGCTTTTAAAAATTTTAACAAGTGTATATTATAAAATTAAATAACACATTTTAAATTAAAAATGAAACAGTTTACAAGTTTAAAAAAGCCTGAAAAATGTCGGAAATTTTTTTATCTAAAACATACTTTTTTTTATTACTTCATGACCATCTATTGTCAAGTTACAAGATTCTAAAATTAATTTTTCAGCAAAACGGAATACCTACGGAAAATCTAAGTTTTCCGAAACTCAAGTGCAACGAATTTTTTGTTTTGATTGTACTCAACGTAAAGAAGAGAATTTTTCAATTTTCATTAATACAATTTTATATGTTTTCTGTGTATCTTTTTAGAAAAGTGAAAATAAAAATAAATAATTCCAAAATGGATGAAGGTTAAACCTTGAAAAAATCCATTACTGAAGAATCGTTTTGATAAAATTTTTTAAACGCTCTGAATTTAATACACATATTTACAAAATTCCTTTAAATTTTTGAAAAAGTTGGACGTTTTCGTAATTTTGAAACAGCGCTAAACCATGCAGAAATTTATTTTAGACTATTTGAGAAACTTAGAAAAAAATTATTTTCAAAATTTTTAGGGTAAAAAAAGAATAGCTTGAAAATTCTTATTGTTAAAATTTTAAATACATAAAAATCCTATCATATTATTAAACTTGGACATTATGTTATTCTAAAAATCAATTGAAATGTAAAAATGTCTGTTAATTCCAATAGCGCATCCATTTTATAATGAAACACATCGATTAATTAAATATTGACAAATCTAAAAATTTGAAAGTAAATAAATACACGTACCTCCACCGAGAATCATATTTTTCTCTGTAAAAAAAAATAAAAATTAATTTTTTAGTCAATTCAGATTTTTGTTTCAAGGATTTTAGCAATCACATATTATAATCAATATAGTTTACAATAAATTAAATTACTTACTCTCCCTTGTTTGGATGATGTCGAACTACATGAATGATTTTACCAGGTGGATAAAGTGGAGTGTGAAGCGTAAGAGCAATACTGGAATCACTTGGAACAATTGTCTGTGCTCTGGCTTGATCTTTGTCTCTCTGATATTCAGCAATGCTTCCACCAGCTTCCAAGTTTGCTGCGGACGTTGGTACCGATCCACATCCACAACACATCACGGAGCACGCAATAGTCTTCCACTAAATAAAAGAATTCAGCGATAAAACAAACAACCCATAAATATTAATTATTTTTAGTTAGTACCTTTGGATCTACACTTCTTTTAATAGCATTTATTAAATCTGCACGTAGACTCTCCATTTGCCGTAGACCTATTCTTGGGACTACGTCTTTTCCAACAACAACTGAGGTAATAAACTCTTGGGTATATTGCTGTGCTGGCATACTTAAAAGACCTCCCGGTGGAGCATAAGAAAAACATATCAGGTCTGGGTATTCCTGTCGGAGAAGTATTGCAAGAATTGCTGCAGTCCCAGCACCCAATGAATGACCAACCAATGTTAATCCAAATTGATCGGTACCTCTCTCCGGATTCTAGAATTGATTTGTTGTTTTCAGTTACAAAATTTAGGCTTTGAAATGATGACACACTTATTAAACATATTAACGAAAAGTAAAAGAAAACGATGAAGAGAAAAATAATTTATTAACTTTGTTTAAAGCTTTCGTAATAATGTCTTCTTCAGTTATTTTTCTTCGTATATATTCAGCAGCTTGAACCATGCCTTTATGTCCAAGCCAGTCTTCTCGTGGTGGTGTTAGTGGTAAAACTTCAGCTTCTGCATTTAAATCTGTCAAAACATCCTTCATACTGAGTGTTCCACGAATACTAATAACAAGCTGTAATAATATTTATCAGTACAATGAACCTTTTTTTTTTCTTTTTTGCTCGAAAACAAACCTTTCGTTGTGTGTAATCTAATGCAACAAAAAACGGAGTTTCTCCAATATCTACATGAAAAGTTGCATAAATAACATCAACTTCGCCAACATCAACCATTCGTTGAAGTGCCGCATAATTGCACTGACAACAATTATCATCAATGACAATGGCATCATCATCATTTTTTACACATGGGAAGCATTCACACCTTATTCTATAGAAAAATTAACAAATAATTTTGAATTTTTTGTCATCTTATTTGAAAATAATTTCTAAATAAAAAATACACCTACCTAGTACACAATTGGCAAAGACCTGTGGTATGATTTATTAAAAATAATGGCCAACCGTAGGCTGCTAAGGCAAAATGCATGTAATGAATTGTATCTTGAAAATGTAACATATCTCCATCCTCAGTTAGTGATAAAAATTTTGTTCTTGGTGTTATCGGAACACCAGAAAGAAATTCATATGTATCATTTTTACGCTGTTTTATTATTAACTCTCTTTCAACTTTTTGGAATTTTCGGAGCAATACGAGTCCAGCTACTACATCCGACGGAACAACATCTAGGTCACGGAAAAAATCACTCAAAAGTCTTGCAATATCTGTGAAAGAATTCTGAAACATAAATTTTCATGTTATTCATATAAAATTCATAAAACTATCAATTGATAATTATCATACATTCATAATAGAATAATAATTTAGATTAATCATTACCTGATTTCTGTCAGAGTTACGCATACAGCAAAAGAGCAATCTACATCTGTTATCCCAACTATTTTGGTAAGCACGGATAACTTTTCTATGATTAAAAAATTTATAAAAATATAAATATATTATTAATTTAATTAAAAAATATTCAATATTAAATATTTAGATAGTACCTTTGTCGCCAGTTTCTATTACGACTACCACTGCGTTTATAATGCATTCTACCAGTTCGAGATTCAGCTTCTCTCATGCTACGTTGATATTTCTTCATCTTTACCCACGACCTTCCAGCTGTATCATAAGTACACCAAACAGTAATGGTCACCAATGCTAAAGTACACCAGTTACATATAACAAGACCTATGGAATAGAATCAACAAAACTTGAATATTTTACTTGTAAAATTTATAAATTTGTTAACTTTCCGCCATAAAAATTGTAAGTAATTCAAAAGTTTGGAAATTACTAGGGAATTATTACACTGGTAGAAAAAAAAATCTTGACTCAAGACAAAAAATTCTTAAAAATTGTTTTCTTGGCTCAAGATTTTTCCTCTTGAATTAAGGTAGTTCCAGCATGAAATCACTTTTCGACAGATTCGGCTGAAATTTTTTTTACGGGTTCAGAATAGCTTCATTTATAAATTCCTGAAATTTCATAATTTTTGACCGTTTAGATCGCGAGATATTTAAAGTCAAAGTTGGCGATTTTGAGGGTCATGTTCCATCTAAAGCATGTAAAATGTCCGGTCTCTCCAACTATTTTTTATGATATTAAAAAATTCTCTCGACAGAATTGGAAAAAAAATTAGGAGAGTGTTGAAAAATGTTTTTAGAATAAGTTAAAAAAATTAGAAAAACGGTTCACCCTAAAGGCCATCCCTGCAACTTCCCGCTCATTTTGTACTTGAACGCTTCAAACTACATATTACGTTTTTGAGCTCTTCGAGCTTATTTTTGTGTCAATTTGAGCTCTTCGAGCTCAAAACTCTGATAGCAGTTTAAAGACACAATTTTTTGAATTTTCAAACGGCAATAACTTTTGAATGAATGAACCGATTTTCACGCGGTTGGCGGCAATCGACGCAGTTTTTGAAGCTCCATGAAAAATTTTCAAGTTTAAATCGATCGAGCCATGAATTTCGAAGTTATTACAAAAAAACACTTTTTTCGATTTTTTTCGACAACGATATCTCACGAATGCATCAACCGATTCTAACATCTTTGGTGGCGATCGATGGGGGTTTTCAAGGTTAAGAGCTGATTAGTTTTTGAGACCGATCGGTTCAGCCAATTCGGAGATATTTAAAATAAAAAAAAACAACTTTTTTTTTTTTACTTTTTTTCACTTTTTTTGCATTTTCTCGAAATCTACCGGTCCGAATCGGTTCAAATTTTCAGGAAATCTAAGTTTAGTGAAGACCTTTCGAATGACACCAACCGCGATGAAATCGGTCGAGTCGTTCAAAAGTTACAAGAGGTTTACACACACACACACACACACACACACACACACACACACACACACACACACACACACACACACACACACACACACACACACACACACACACATACACACA